GGGGAGTTTTACGAAAAGCTTCTGAAGATTTGAAGCCGCTCCAAACCTGTCGCGTAAGGCGGACAAACTACAATCGTACTAGATTTGAATGACAATTTGTGGTCTCAGAATCACGAGAGAATAGTATAATAACCGTGCACCGCTCTTATTCCTGTAAGGTACTACATATCGGGGCAGAACCTCAGCATCGTTCGTTTAAACTCATGACGAGAACGGAGCAATAAATATGACAACAAAATAATCCGAGTGAAATACCACTTTTATTTCCTTTGTTGTGGTTTACATAAAGGCAAACGGGAAACGGCCAAATGATCTCACAAGGCAGCGATAGCGGCAATATGCGTGCCGGCAGATAATGATTGCGAAAACATCGAAAGCAATGAAATCAAAACCATGGCACATTGAGTGATAGTATCGGCAATTTGAAGGCGTCAACAGATTAGCACATATTTTTGTTTTGTGACAAACGAAACTACGCCTTGCAGGTCATAAGACTGCTAAAAAACGGCATTGACCCTTGCCCTCATTCTGCAAAACCAACACCTCGAACCAGTAAGGAACCTTAGACTAAGTGTCAATTTAATTCATAGAAAAAACTTACATAGGTAGAAAATGCAATTCTACTTTCTACATACTATCTGTTTGCTAACAAGAGCTAAAATGTGGATTCTTTTCCGTGATCGAGGAAACACATACTTACCTTCCCAAACGACTGAATTAACCACGAGCACACCAACCAATGTTTACACAAAGTATGAGTATTGAGTACAGGGATGCAGATACAAAAAATGCATACATCTATACACATAGTTGTCGAATGGTAATTTAATTTAACTCGAAGGACCAGCGCCGGGTGTAGGCATAGCGTCAAGATTCTGGACGTGCCTATTAACCATTTCAGCTCGTTTAGGTAAGTAATTTTTCCAGTGGAGCAACATCTGGTCGTCAATAAATCGAGTCACCGATTCATGAGCAACTTCACGTCGGAAATCCGGGGATTGAAGAAGATCAAGCATGTGCAGGCAAAAGGGATACCTTAAATTTAGAAGAAGGGAAAATACGAAGGTAACAACGAGTCTTAGCATGCACAAAGCTCTTCAAAACTGTTTGTTAATAAAATCGGTACAAGTACCCCAATGGTCGAAAGAATTAGTGCTATCAGTAAAACACACGCATGGCTACAATGTAAAGGGATGTTAATGAGGACTGATAGACTTGCGTAATAAATCTCGAGTACGACGGAGATTTCCAATACTGCAAATAGGACAAATAATTTATAAACTCCGGTTTGTCAAAAGAGCCCTGCTGGGCCAAAACTAAAATTTTGATCAAGAGCACAAAATATGCATACAGGTAAGATAATCTGGATTGCCAAGAGACTGAACAAACTCCAGTTCAATTTGAAAGCGTACCCAAGGATCTTCAAGAGTATCTCCGAGAAATAAAAAAAAGCATACTTACTTCGAATACCACCACTGTTACCTAACCTTGCAGGATTCAGGATGGACTTCGGACGGTTTTGCATATGATATCGAGAGCACAAAATGTCAACTGAAATAAATAGAATGTGAAGGGGATTTCAACAAATCTAACGGTCTGCATAGTTCAATCAATCGATTATTTGTAGACTTCCATAAAAGAAAGCTGACTTTAACAAACAGCTACACCGAAATTGTAGGAGCAATCATCAGACTGCATTGCTGGTTCTACGAACGAATGCATACCAAGCAAAAAGCTTAGGAGAGGATACGATCGTTACTACTTAAAAAAGAAGATTCTGTGGTTTACAAGCACATTTGAGGACTAATATAGTGCAGCAACTCATAGAAAGACCTTATGGACGAAAGATTCAATAAAAACCCCGAAGCGATGCATACAAGGAAACATACATAAAACTCAAAGTACAGCTTCCAAGAAGGAATACTGAAAGAATGCTTTAAAGCATATAATAAAGCACAAAAAACACGAATATAAAAGAACCCGAACTCAACAATAAAAAGCAGATAGGCAACAGTGCCTAAAGTAAGCCACCTCAGACCAATGAGATTTGTAATTTCAAAGTAATACTTACTTAAAATAAAACACAGAAGAGGGAATTTGCCACTAAGTAAAGTACTAAGGGGCTTGGATTTAATCAAAGCTCTAAATGTCTCAGAGCTTTGGGAAATCAAAATAAACACACAATTCTAGGGAATTATAAGTACGAGATTTAATTGCATCGGATTTTATATGGGGTAGGCTTCATTATTCCTATCCGGGATTTTAATAGAACCATTTACTTTTATTAGGTTTATTCTCATTGGAATAATAAATTTTGTGACCCGATATTCTGTTAGCTGCATGCCTACCCGAATTGACCGTTAACTTATTTTAGGTAGTCGGGGTCATTACGCCTCACTAGTAATGTAGCGTCCCGAGACTTCCCTGAAGACGAAAGAAGACACAATACTCGGGCAGAATATATATTCAGCGTAGAGAAGGTGTCTGGGCTACTGGCATGGCCCGAAGGCCAGCCCACCCAGCGAGGTACAAGAAGGCTAATTCAAAAGCCCAAAAGTAGAGCCTCACCAATACCGAGGGGTAAACCACCAGCGTATTACAGTAATACCACCATTTGTTTGCGTTATTCTTCAATCTCTTCTGTTTACATATAAATCCCTCCCTTTGCTTGAATAACATTTTGCGCCTTTAAGGAAAACTCAGGGAGTACATGATCATGCGAGTTTTGAGCGTGCATGGATGATAATCCTGCATGAGCTATGGTAGTTTCATGGCACACATAGTCCTTCAATTTCTTTAAAGTTGGGTGATAAGTTTTGTACGTATTAATCCGACTTACGCACATCTAAGCATGGTGGAGCAGCTCTGTAATGCTCTAATAGTTTACTTAAAACTGAATCTGACTCCATGGACAAGCAGGTCTTCACGACTTGTACTTCCATCGTGCAGCACAACCTATGAGTCATATAATAAGACTTGGCTCTTTACTACTAAGACTTCTTACGACTTCGGAAAAGGTTGGGAAGGCTGCGTTGGGAGCATCATTAAGTTCATCTATTACTAAGGGATTATAATTTTGGACATTAACGCTGATTGAAGACCTTGGTATGGGAGAAAAGGAGCACCTACTGTTGATGCTAGGATCTGAGGGCACCTAATAGAAGGGTTAAAGATTGTGTTCACCTTTGACTTCTACTCCACTCTATGTTCATCAGGAATGCATAGTTACCCCCAAAACAAACAGAAGAGTTCTTTACAAAGCTGCCTTTGATACTTATGTTTAAATGCCATTTAGTTGTACGTGCGTTAACTTCTCCACCTCCTTACCATCAGATAAGAACCCAGATAAGTATATTGTAATACGATGATGGTTTACCCCTTGATATTGGTAAGACACCAATTTGAACTTTTGAATTTGCCTTCGGGCCATGCTAGTAGCCCAGACACCTTCTCTGTGCTGAATATATATTCTGCCCGAGTATTGTGTCTTCTTTCGTTTTTTAGGGAAGCTTCGGGACGCTATAGTATCGTTGTACTGCATTAAAATGAGGCCAATGTAATAAGGAGGAAGAGACGCGGAAACTTACCTGCATAAATGACATTTAACACTGTCTTTTTAAAATGACTCTTACATTTAAGCAGAGTCCTTATGACTAACATTATAGATGCGAAATTTCCCCATCGTAAAACACCATCCATATTTTAGTAATTTGAGTGGAGCATATTCTCTCCTCTCCAATAGAGTTTTTAATTAAGGCTGAATTTTAGGCTTAGTGGAATTGCCAAGGTGCATGAGTGGGACTAAAATTAGGGCAATTTTTCTAATGCCATGCAACTTTGGTGACTGGCATGGTAGATTCATTAGGGCTTTTTAGAGCGCGGACTAAGGTGAAAGGAGGTTCCAAGTCTACGCCCAGGGGAAGAGAGGATCTGCGCAAAGCCTTAAGTGCTTGTTTAACTTTGCGTTTTGTGACACAGGTAATCAAATCTCTGCAATCTATGGCTTCAACTAGCCTTTCAGATATCAATAAATTACGTTCTGCCAGGCTACAATTGCTTCTTCCTCCACTGGGGAATACTGGGGAGCTAAAACTGTTCACTTTTAACCAAGACTTTGCTGAATTTTAAGCGCACCTTTTGGTACTTAACTTGGCATCATGGCCTCCGCTTCATGCCAGTGGCCTTAATTATCCTGTACGTTGGTAATATATTTTCTTCCGTAATGCTTGACTTCTTACGACTTTAGGTAGGACTCAAGGTGCTACACCTTAATTTTTAAATTAAAAGTGCAAGTAGTCTAATTTAGAAGATGTAGATTAAAAGGGGACAAACAGGATATCTTTTGCAGGGTTGACTGTGAAGTATTTTTATTCTTCTAACCAGTTTAAAACTTTATTTGTACACAACTGTTCCGTTTTAATAGGTTATTTATTTTATTTATCATAATTTTTATTGCAACAACTTTAGGCAGCGGAAAATATTTGTAATTTGTCAGGCATTCTACTTTTTTGTTTTAATTTATGCCTCAGGTAAAGTGATTCTGAGCTGCTTTCAAAGCTCTCTTCCATCAGCTGATACTTTGGGTACGGTCTTTGCGCCAAAATACAACAATGCAGACCTCGTCATCATTGAAGTCCAATAACGAGTCATGCGAAGCTGAGGATGGTATTTTTTGAATGTCTTTTTTGCAAAGTGTTTGTTTAATGGTTTGCAAGAATGTGTATGTGATTAATCTGTCGTCTTTTTTGTTTCTTCCTTTCCTGAAAATTAAAGTCCGAGAGATCTTAGAATAGTAGTTTTTATTGGGATGTGTATTGTTTAGCAGCAATTGTGCATTAGCTTGGTTTGTTTCGGAGCCTTGTATTAGCTTACATTAATTAAGACACAAATTAAATCACGAGGAAATATACGATGATTACTATTCTTACTATGCTATATGCATTGCTATGAACTATTAGAGGGTGTGTGCTAGTTTTTCTACTTTGCCATCTAATATACTGTGTTGCACTAAAAATTAACGAAGATGTTCACTCATGCCTTTAACCTCATTCCACTTAAGCTAGTTTCTGATTAATCATTCGTCGCTTTAGATAAGGTACTCAGTATTTGCACAATTTGTGGCGATACTTTTCCGATGATCAGCCTTTTACACGCGCACGTGAATGCAAAGCATAACGTTGGTACGTTGCATTTCCTGCGTCCTACTTTGGCTTCTCGGTTCTCTCTCTGTCCCAATATTTAATCGCTAATTTTAGATGACACGGGAATGGTATCTGCTTTTGATTGCAGTTTTGTCGCGGTGAGCTGTTTTTAGATGTAGCGTCAATTTCCCTTTTGTTGCACCGCGTTCCACAATATGCTGCTTAATATCGGCCTATAATCGCAATATGTATCTGTAAGAATAATTTTAACAGTGGTTTGTTTTGTGCAATGCAAATACCTAAAGATACTTTGCAGGTTTTAAAAGTATATCATCTTTTGTAATTTCAAAATATTTATTGGCTTTCATCTAGTAATTTAGGTCCCGTAATCCCATAGCTTCATCGTAGTACTCGGTGCGCTGTCTAGTTACATTTACGACTCTAGTTTTGTATAGACTGTTTCAGCATATGTTATATTTTTGCTTAGGTATTGGTTTTGATTTAATATTTACTTTGGTTTGGAGCTAAATTGGGTTGACTTATACTTTTATTTATCATTTACGGTAAAATGTTTTATCAGTATAGTTGCAATTTAAATCCATTAAAAATAAATAAAGAATTAGTACAGCTCTTCTTATTTCAGAGATCACCCACGCGTTCCAGTGCCGGACCGGAGGCTAGTAAGTTATATCTCAGATTTTTTGGTTATACATTTCCATACTCTACTTTATTACAACTTCTAACCTCGTGGTTTAAGCCTTTAATTAATATGCACTATGAATATATTTCTAACGGTGTTTATTTGATGCATATTCATCATATTCAACATTTCTCATTCATTTGTATTTATTGGCAGCTAGTTTACGTTGGACGGGTGATCTTTATCATTAAACAATTTTCGTAGTAGATCCGAAGCATGTTTGTACGCATTGCGGTGAGGGGTTTTTCAAAAAGTCCGATCTCAAGGAGCACATAGTTGCAGTTCATCGAAGTTAGTTTATCTGGCTTTTCATGCTCTTTTTTTGCGTTTTCAATTTCTGCTACGCCTTTGCCATAGTTGTCTCATGCTCCATGTTTAAGTTGCCCCGTAGCCGGATTGATGGCAACTTTGGTGAAGATTTTCATTTACCGACTCAAGCACAGCTTTTTTACCACGGTGACTGTTTACACTTTTGTATTCATCTTTCTGCTCAATATTCATCGTACTCTACATGAGTGTTACTCAGATTACTTTGAAATCAAGTATCGGAGCGAGTGTTCTGGCTCATTTTACGTTTAGATCTTAAAACCCACATTTGTGACCAGTGTCGTAAGGGATTTACGACGCCATCCTACCTTCGCCTTCATGTCTTAACGGTTCATGAAGGTATGCTTTCTTAAGAATCGCTCGTTCATTGATATCGAGGAAATTGATCGACTTTCCTGCTTAGTTCACTTGTTCATTGACGTAGAGTTTAATAGAGAGAAAGTTTCTTCTGTGATCTCCTTTTTGCTGCATTCACATTCGAATGCTTTTGAACAAGGCTGCAAAAATTGCGTCTGAACACTTTCCATTTAGGTGTTAAGGCCTATTCGTGCCCACTCTGCTCCAAAAGATACACTCAGAAGCATTCCTTGAAGAAACACATCAGTTCGCGACACGGATCTGGTAAGCGACTCTTCGTATCGTAGACACCACCCTATAACTCACTTAAGTTTCCACATTTTGAAAAAAAAGAACTTTGCGTCCGAGTAAGCAGTTGACCCCGCCTCCCTAGGGAGGTCTTCTTACATAGACTTGATTTGTGCCTTGACACAATCATGAATGATCTAAGGCAGCTACTTAATTAATGACTTATTTACAATTGAAAAATATTTCCACTACCTGTTATTTTTAATGTGCGTATTTTACCCCGGAAGAGCTTGTGGCAACATACCGTTCAGCCACTTCTTTGAAAGCACATTACATCACGCCTCTGGGTTGAGTCATGGCCTATTTCGCCTCTTGGAAGCACGTGTATGACTCATAGTATTTATCGTTGCCTTCCTCTTTGTTATCCAACTCGTTCTTGCACGGTTAGCCCGGTTTTGGCTAATTGGGAATTAACTCACATCTGTCACATCCCCTACTCCTCACAAAGGGTGCAGTGTCTAGCCCCTTTAGATTACGTGCTGCAGAGTTACCTCAATTTTATGCAAGTGATAATGCATCCACTCTGTCGCCAAGATTTTCCATCGATAAACTGCAGGAATTGCAGAAAAAGTACCCCCTTTTCCCCTAACAAGATACAAGTAGAATGAGGTCGTTTTGTGAATTTCCTCTCTTCCTTGTTGCATCTCATCCTCGTCTATCTCCGGCATCATTTATCAATGTGAGTTCATTTCACATATTTAGACTCGACGAAAAATACCGCTACGTCGAACAAAGAACCTCATCAATCGGTGAATGACATTTCATCTCCCGTTAGAATAATTGCTACGGCAGATGCAAGTCAAGCCGTCGCTCAGTGCAATGTCTAGTTCCACGACCGGTAAGCTGTCGCTGAGCGATCATAGTTAACGAGTACCCATAGTATCTGCACGGTACAGTTCAGCTTGTGAGTTTTCCACGGTTTCTGCCTCCTGGAGGAGAGCGTGAGAGGTCTGCAATGAGAGTGTCTGCTTTCGGTATATCACCGCGGCTGCTCCCCCTCACCGATGGTAGACGAGGCGAGGCCAGGCCCGCCTTGAGTTTTCACACGCTTCTGCGTGGCTTCGTTCATTGTGCGCACTTGCCCTGAAAGTCACCTCCTCGAGTTTGCGCACAATAACACCTATCGAGATATCGAGAGAGGGCTTTGGGTTAGAAATGATCTGCGCTATTTAAATGCAGGCTGATGTCTCGAGCCAACTGGGCATATACCGTTGCGATATTTAATGTTTTACTGGGTCATTAAGAGTGACGCATCTTATCTTTCATCGAACTTCTGGTACGAGTATCTAGGTAAATCGAGTTTTTTCTACTTATAGGACAAAAAATTTCTTATTGTTATCGGTAGATGGATGGGTGTTTAGGATAGGTCCCGAGACATATTTTAACCCAAGTGAATTGGTATCCGCAATTTCTTGCATTTTTGCATTCTACTTCCACTTAAGTGGCGGCAAACTGCTGATGATCGTTTACTCTGTATTTGTAGTTAGCTCTGCGGCATTAAAGAAGAGTTTCTCTCCCCTACCTCACTGCATTTTTTTGTATAACACACGCTTTTTACAATTGTTATTGTCTCTCATCAAGTTGAAGAACATTATTTGCGATCTCCTGGGTACAGACCCTGTTCCGCTATTGACCATTTCGTCGTTTCCACTTTGATACTCTATGATTTACCAGGATTCGGGCATTTGTTTGCTTTTGCAGTCATATACACATATTAACACACAATCACACGTGCTAATCTTTTTTACTAAAGGTACATTCGGGGAAATTTAGCTATATTAACCCCCTGCTCACTTTTATGTGGAAAGGTATATTTTTTATGATTATTGTAATGTCATCGGCGCTGCTTGAGAAATCCTGGGACCCCAACTAAGCAGTGGTAACTCGTCCTGTTGCGAGTCATTTGTGTGCTATTGCATACGACCGGCGAAAGAGGGAACATTGATTCAACGTCAAAATACTGTTGCTCTTAGCAGTACATGCATACAAGAGGAAATGCGAGGGTTCTGTGGATGGTTTCAGCTATTCAGGGAGAATAGACTCACATATTCTTTAACACAGTATAAGTGGTCTCGGTGGTAGACCTATTGTGTGGGTTTTAGCATCTTGCATACCTCGGAATGCGTTCATATCTATCCTCGCGGATGTTCTGGGGAAGGGGGAGGGAGAGGAGATTAAGGAGGATAACCATTAAAATTGTTTGCCGTGTAAAACTCCCGTAAACTGGTATTTTTAGCGAAGAAAATTGAATTTCATTACTACCTTGTCTGCAAATTAAAAATAACAACTTTGTTAATTAACTAAACAACTTAGCTTAACTAATAGAATCCGGAAGTGATACCGCTTTCCAACAAATTTCCTATTGAGTGGTTCCGTCATTAATATCAGGCAGTCGGAAAGTTCCGTAGGGATGTTTGTATCTTTCGTGAAGTATAGGTACGCGTCAGTCTAACAATACCCTCTGTTGCATTCAGTACCTGTTCCTCATTTATTCTGAGACCACAAATTGCCATTCAAATCTGGTACGATTGTAGTTTGTCCGCCTTACGCGACAGGTTTGGAGCGGCCTCAAATCTTCAGAAGCTTCTCGTAAAACTCACTGTACGATAGTTGTGGAAGGCGCAGTGGCAGAACCAACTGACTAATCACCCTGAATTTGTTTGCACAATGTGATTCTGGTGATGGATGGATCACTTGAATGATGGACTCATCAGACTTAGACAGACCCCCAGTCCTCTTAATGCTGAAAGATCGCGTGTCGCCGTTGGCATGCTGCTATGAGATGGTGTCGAGAACAACCTTCAGTTCTGTTTGATGTGAATGGTAAAATAACCTCTTTACACCTACATCGCCTTGGAGAGGAAGGTCGTGGCGGGTGAGCAAATTTGTTTTATGCGCCAAGCATCAACAAATGACAGCGAGCCTGAATAGGCGGCTGGTTTGTCCTTCACTTGCCTCACACACCAAATGACAACGCATCGTCTTTAGATTACTTGCTGGCTGACGTCACGAGAAATGGCTATCGCAGTTTATTACGAAGTCTGCTAAGCCAACGAAGGATCATGTCACTGATTGTGCCCGAGCGATCCATCCATTGCCCACTTCTAATTTTGAAGGCACGCACCCTCTGACCTCGGAAGATTGCGGTTGTAGTGGTCATTACCTTTCCTTGGCTTTGCAAAATCACAAGTGAAATAGGGCAGAGTGAAAGGAAATGGAAGTGAGGCAGAAACGGGGGTGACTAAACGTTCCATAAGCGTGGTTCACGGGCGTGTCTTGTTGGGGGTGGATGACGAATTGTAACGGTGGTGGCTTTGGTAAATATGTCGGCAAGCCTTCTAAAGTTACTCAATTTTCTTCAAACTTCGCTAGTTTTCATAAAGAGGCATGCAGTTTTAGGCAGAATTTGAGACACAAATAATAGCTTAAATGATTTGTTGTGAAGGAAACTTTGATATGCTTCTTCGACTTTACCATTAATTTGAACGCCTATTCAGTTTTCATGACGCATTACAATTCCTTCCTTCACTTTAGTTTACTATACATTCTTGACAGCTTTCCTCCAGGCTGGTGTTATGCTCTTCGAAACACTACCAGCAACAGTTTAAGTTTGCATAATAATTTCAGTTTGTAATCGCTTTAATACCCCCAGGTCTCTAAAAATGAGACATTTATCCGTTTCAGATTCTAATTAAATGAACGACAAACTTAGTCAATGAAAACAACTAATATATTAGAGAAATAGACATTCACATTATAAATCCCCGTGCCTCAGTAAACCCTCTAGAGCTGTAGCACCTCGCCCTGTATGACGACTTTGCCGTAGACCAGTTTCTCAGCCGATTGGTCCGTATCGCAAACTTGGGGTCTGGTGAAGAACAGTCGCGCGTAGCTACCACCACTGGCACTGGTCGGGCGCGCAGTCAGTCCGGGATTGACGCAAACCACACCCTCCACATTCTACGAGCAAAATAAAGTACAGCGGGAGTGCATGAGACTGTAACATGACTTAATTCATCAAATCGACCTGGTGAAGTGAGTAAATTAAATTACCTTAAACTTTTAAATCGTCAAGAGCACTCAAATGCAGAGAAAAGCAGGTGCTAAAGCACAGATGATGGGGAAAATTAAGTGGAAGATACAAGCTGGACCCAACTTCTTAAGAGGTGTTACCTTGATGAAGGTTCTAAGTCTAGAGGGCAGTATGACGCAGTGGGGAGAATGATCCGGGGGTAGTCGGGCGTGCTCCCACCAGAGGGGATAGTCAAGAGGCAGATCCTCAGAGGCGGGGTGAACGGGGTAGTACGTACCTGACGCCAAAATGTGCCGGCAAAGGCGAGCCAATCGATCACCTGTACAGCTGAAACGCAGCAGTCGAGAGCAGAATAAATAACCTGCTCAGGATACATGGAAAAACAAAAGCGACTGCAGCGCTTGCTCACATTCACACATGTTAGGTGTCTGCATACTGACAAGTAAGTATCAACACTAACTTGGCACTTATTTCCACTGAGCTCATCTGGAAGAGTACGTCAGGTGAAGACAATCCCAAGCAATAGGGCCCGATTTTGATAGTGCTGGGATCCCACACAAAGGTGACGTTTTCATACCAGGAAGCCTTAATAACAAATGAGGAAAGATGATAAATTAAAGACGAGGAACTGGGGCCTCGAGTCATTCCCGATGCATGAAATCAGAATTCCGGCTACACAAACGCGCATATTTCATAATGCCATTGAATTAGTGACTTTTTGAGGGGCATTACAAAGGTTGATGCATAGCGCTAAATAGACATGCAAATAACATTAACAGCTAAAATTAGTATCCTTAAGTACATAGGCTTGTTGGCATTTAGTAGACCAGACTCGAACCGTAGCCGCAAGTGCAGCAGCAATTAGGAATATTTTCCCGATTTCTAGCTAAATGTCATAAATCATGAGGTTATTGACATATGGTAGAAGATGTGGTACCTTAGATGGTGATCAGTGCAGCGCGAAAATAGGTTCCAGTGATCACCGCGACCGGAATTTAGTGCTTCCACCAGCAAAAATTAACACAAAAAGAAAAAAAATCATGCGAAGATTCCCCTTACCACTTCTGGATTCTTATAAGCCCAGGGCGGTTTAGCAGAATCAAAGGGAGGCGGAGTGGGGTAAACGGGACTCCCACAGACCTCGCGCCACGAGGACACTACGACAACTTTAATTTTCAGCAGAAAGCACCATTCAGCCACCGTATTGAGGCGGGCCTGGTAGAGTTCGTCAAAGGTTGAGTCGCAGTAGTCCTACTTGACAAAGGAGATAAGTGAATCACAACATTGTTCCACTGATTAAAAAGCAGTAGAAACTGCAAACAAGCCTTTTACCCCAATGAGTGGATGAGAAGAATCAACGAATGGGCCAAGTAGGATGAGCACATGCGGTTGGTGCTCTTTAATGCTTTTCAGTAGAGCTAACAGGGGTGAAATATCATGAGAGGTGTTCGTGGTGAATGGACCACAGGCAACTGCAAGGTGGAGGCCTGGTTTGTGAAAAAGGTAAAGTATGATATCGATAAAACATTAGTTTGATAGATAGAATGGAACCTACCAGAGCACGTTTCACCTTCAACGTCAAAAAGAGGAAGGATTTTCGGCTGAAACGAAGCAATTTCAGTAATGTGATAATGTGCTGATAATGCGAAAGTAAACAACATATAAAAAGCCTAAGCACAAAGGCGGTAAGTACAAATGAAACAAATACTTTACCTGATAAAATTCAAATGCAATGAGAGAGCGACCATTTACATTCGTAGCCCTAAATACGACAGGCTGGCCTATGTACAGTGAATACTCAAGGCTTGAGGCATTTGTGTTGACATCGAGCATGACTCGACCGAGATCCCCACCACCGGCTCTTCTTGTGCCGACGATACAGACACTCAGTGGGTCTAGTCGTTGATGTTGAACAACGTCTTTGACAGCTCCAGCTTCAGGGCGCGCGGCCACCCGGCCTGCTACCAGACTGGGCGTTTGCAGCCTACTGTGGACCGGACGAAGCGCGGATATAGCGGGCTTTTTGACCTCGGAGTCCCTCTGTTTTAATGACGGGTCCAAGACACTGGAGAGACTGAAACGAGGCCTGTTTGACATGGTTGAATCAGTATTTTCAATCACAGATGGCGGAAGTGACTCCATGATTCGCCTAATCTGATCCCATGTCCAGGAATCCAAAATCTCAGCCTTTACCAGCGGTCGTTGGTGCATGTATCTCAAGCAGTTACTTTTCTGGATTGGGACGGATCGAATTTTCCAAGTGAAGGAATGTGTTGGAAGAATCAGAGAGGGGCGAAATGCTGTCTGCCATTGAGATTGCTGATTCTCCATTTGAGTTGGAAAGGAACAAAGTATCTTACCCGATGATTTGGTAACCCCTTCTATAAGGCGTTAAACAACTTCCTAGACCGAACCCATATATTTTTAGAAGGACTCACTAAAGCAACAAGCATGTCAAAAGATCAAAAGTGTTTCAAAATTAGCACTGCGAAACCACTCACGTAATGTAACTGAGCTTGTAGCATGGACATTTACAGAACGTGACACCGCGTTCGGCACAGATTTTCCAAGGTAAAAGCTCATAACATTTTCCTTTTCATCAAAATTTTGGGATGAGAGGCTTAAAATAAGGCTATGGATTTACATACATCTCTTTTCGCATTTCATCAGGAAGGACGTTTAAGGAACACAGGGATTTAGTTTCAGAGGAACGCGATGCTTTGGGCGCTATACTTAATAAAAGTTGCTAAAAGTTAGATAAAAAGAATCAAACCTCCTTTTCAAATAGCAAAATGTCAGTTCGACATAGGGAATCGGATAAGCCTCGGTTATGACGAAAGGCAACGTATTTCTCAACGAGAGACGAGGGACTCAGACAGTATTTCGTAGACAGCCCAACAACTACGAAAAATATGCACCGAATTTAGGAGATTACACTCTCCAAGAAGATCGTCTTCGATTATTGATATTCCAAATGCGCCTAAGTCATCTCTTATTCTGCCATGTAAAGAATAGCTCGACGCATCCATCTCAGAAACAAAGCCGGCAGGCCACCAACTTGACCTCAAGGCCACGATCAAAGCCCAAATATCGAAACCGCTGCGACTTAACAAAAGCGATTCGACAAAACAAGTTTTGGCTCTCAAAATATATTTTTATAAATAAGCCGTCCTAGTTTAACAAGTGAGCACTGCTAGTAGTTGCAGTGTGATCACTGTTTCCGCGACATCAAAGTGCTTTATTTTAGGGCAAAAGCAACTTTTAGTTGATATCTATGTACTGCGTGTGTCTTAGCTCAACATTGGGTTTAGATAATCCAATTTTATGCATTGTTAGTTTAAATTGGCTGTTTGTTCTTTTTTGTTTAAATTGTTCTCCGTCCCGATTAAATCTTCGGTGCATCGTGCAGCTCGTGAACCGGCGTGCGGTCAGTCCGTACTGGTGTTGACGTTTTAATTATGGTCGAGTGGCTGTAATCGAAAATTAGTCACGCTATACTGCTTCTGGGCTAATGTCTGATAGAAGCTGGATTAAGCATACTTGGAATGTCCGGTATATGCCAACTGTTTTTCCTCGAAAGTTGCCATGGGGCAATTTCAATTTGCATTATTTTGGCAATCTTGACTGCTCATCACTTTTGTCTATTTATACGCTCATTTAGGTGAAGTGTAGAGAAGTCTGCGACATGTATTGATGTATCTGCATTGGGTAATGTGGAGGTCTTCAGTATCTGTGTGAAAAAACTGACTGCCTCTTCACGTCCAATTGTACTTTTGTAGATGGATGGGGTTGAACTCTAAGGCGATTTGATCATTTAGAATAAGCAACCATGAGCGGGTGTTTGCACATGGTGGTGAATCTCCCGTATCCGGCGTGGAGATTTTCTGTTCTTGTGCGAAATGTACTCTGCTTCAGCTATTCACACCTGGCCATATCTCTGTAGGTGGACAGGGTTGGACGCTGAGGACATTTTCTGCTTACCTTTTAGAAGTTTTACCTTCTCCCTTTCATTGCCCAACATGAAAGGTGCAGAGGTGTCACAATTTTTTTTGCGGTAATGGTATAAACTAAGGATGCATCAACTTAGGACTGTATCACCTTTCACTTGTATTCTATGAAGAATGATGCGTTTTTTTTACGCAGATGTTGTAGAAAAAAAATGCCTACCCAATACTTCTACTATCTGAGAATTCATTCGAAATTTCACATAAAATAGCTTATTGCGAGTTTTTTTGGATTCGGAATGAATGGTCTGAATGGAGATCATTTATCCTATTACTTATTATCTTTTCAGAGTAATGAGCAAGAAGTCAAGAAAGTTGAAGAAGGCTGCCGCTGCAGCTGCTGGTCGAAAATCAGTCCTAGGTTTGAAGAAGACGGAGGGCAAGGTCAAGAAAGAGGCTCTCATAAAAGCCATTTCCGAAAAGTCCGTTTCTCTGACCGCTCCGCCAGTTACCATCACCTCCAAAAAGAAGAAGAAGAAGCGTCACGGTAAGAAGGCCGCGAATGTACATTCCGGTATAAAGCTGGAAAATGTTGCTCCAGCGGGACCAGTGAGCCAGAATAGGGAGCAGCGGCAGGGAGAGAATGTTCCTGTGGTTGATGAAACTGGGAAGGGGAAGAAAAAGAGGAAACGTAACAAAAAAAAGAGAATTTCTTCGGAAGCATCTTCTATTGAGCAGAAACCCAAGGTGTCACTTACTGTGAGCGCGAATCCAAGTGACCCGGCCAAAGGTAATATTGTGGTGGCTATAATTTTTCGGAACTTGGAATGCTAGTATTCAGTAACTTGTATGTGGGAGTCACGCAGTTATCATTTTTTCATTCCAGAGAGTGGAAAGAGCCGAAAGCGTCGCAACCGTAAGCGAAAGGCAGCGCAAGAAGTAGCGGGGATATCAAAGCCTTTAGTGGAGTCCGTGAACCCTTCAAAAAAGGTCAGAATGGAGGAGGCCGAAGGAGAGGCCTTAAGCAGTAGTGAACCGGAGCTAATCCACGCGGATTGGGGGTTGGGTGATGACTCTGGTAGGGAGGAAGGTTCCAAGGCTGAGGATGACAGCGAAGCTGACCTGGATGCCTCCGAAGAGGATATCGATGAGACGCCCCATTCGGAAGAGAGTGCCGACGACAGTGATGCTGATGTGGAAATCAATGACACTGGAGCGATAAATAAGGATGGCTGCGAAGGTTCGCTTCTGTCGGAAAAAGGGACCTAATGTATAAGTATTGCGCTAGAAAACAAATTGTGGCCGCATTTAAAATTGGAAGTTATCCAGTTTGTGGCAAGACCGGTTTATCAAATTTAATTTAAAGGTGGCAATTGTTCTGTATTAAAATGTATTAAAGCTGACATTGTGTATTCCTGTAATCTTGAGATGGTTTTTGTAGGAGGATGGGAAAGTGTTTTAGCCTTTTCGGGGGAAATTATCTCAAAAAGTTTAATTTATTGTAGAATCGAAACCAGGAAATGCTGCCAAAAAACCCAACCTAGAAACCAAGAAATTGAGCAAGGTAGGTCTGTGTATGAACTGTTGGGTTACCGTGTAGTTGGGAAATGAAATGGCCTACGATATTGCTAGGATTTTACTAGAGTTCCATGAAAAGTTCATGGTTTTTCCTTGTTCTACAGACGTATTTTGCCTCTGTTCCCATTACTAGGATAGGCCTGAAGGGAACAAACGGGATGATAAAACTCTGAGTTGTCGGGCGAAAACCAAAAAGTTCTCCCTTTTGGACAAAACCGCCATTCTGAAAGAGATGCGAGAGCGCGTCGGTGAGTTAGATTGCTCGAGGCATTCATTTTGGATGATCTGTGTGGATCTTTTGGAGCATTGTGTAGACGAGTTGCATCTTCACTACCTTAAGATTTAGCTATGACCATTTTAGGCAGACCCGTATTGAAAAGTAACATCAAATTGCTTCACCCATGTTGTAAGTTTGGACGTTTCGACGCTTATTGGATTTGGTTGCCTTTTAGCCGAATTCGATTCTCGTTGTTTATACGTTGCGCCCATCCCAGGTGACTGCACTTTCGATATGTTGAAGAAGTTCATTCCCAAGATGAAAAGCTGCCGATTTTTCACAAGGCCTAAGTCGAACAAGTTGCGCACGTATGTATTTTCACCGTGAATTAATTCTCATGCTACTTTTCTTTATGCTTACCGCTAAAGTCTTAGTCTAAACATTTGAATGCAGCATTTGTGTAGGCTCCTACGCTTTTGCATTATATTCAGTTTTGATACATTTGTTGCATCTCATTATTAGCGATCGATTATGAAGCTGTTTATCAACGTGTATCATTTTTTCTTACATTACGGACTGAAGAGGGCTCATTTGCTGCCGTTGCCGGTTGGAATTTGCGTCCTTCTAACCATAATTTATTTTTACTGTAGTTTTGTTTTTGTGGAATTTGCGGACGCGGAAATAGCAGGAAAGGAGAAGTTGTCCATCTCAGGTCGTCTATTTGCAGGCCAGTCGATGCGAGCAGAGATCCGATCTAGTCAGCAGCACGGCGACAACAGAGTTGCCGATGGAGTCTACAGTTCGGAGAATATTGATTTTTCGCGTATTCTGGTCACCGGCCTAGCACCTGGAGTGAACCAGACCGACCTTAAAAGGATCTTTCCCACCGCCGAAAATATCCGACTGCCAATGTCTCAACACAATTTCAATTACGGGTATGCACACTCCTCGAATCTGAATCCCCCCTTTACTGCCCCACAGCGTTGTCTTGGAATTTAATTAATTATGATTTTGCTAATCGCATTGCTTTGGGGAACTTTAGCTATGCGATTCTCAGCTACGTTTCGGATGCAGTTGCTCTCGATGCCTTCTCTCAATGTCACAGACTCCTTCTGAAAGGTCATCCCATCTCTGTGAACTTTGCCTTTAAACCATCTGAAAAAAAGCAGCCTGCCAGTGCTGACACTGCCTCCTCATCTAAGTCCAGCGTGCTTATTCGGCCACAGAAGGAGACCCAACTTGCTCAGCGTGTGGGAAAAGTGGTAATTCAACCATTGGTAAATGCAAAGGATGAAGAGGGAGATAATGGATTGGCAGAAGGCTCCAAGAAAAGCGATTCGCTGAAACCGACAAGGATCCAGCGACGGGACGCGCAGAAGTCGGGTAGTAAAGCGAGAATGAGCAAAGATAAAGGTACTAAAGGGGAATTGACTGTCGAAGAAGCTAAAGGGGATGATGTTGCTAGGACTGCATCGGCCTCTCTTCTTTCTGACATGATTAAACAGGCTAAAGGAAAGATAAAGGCTGAAGAAGCGATTGAGGTGCAGTCGGATGAGGATGGCGAAGAGCCTGATGACGATAAGGATGTTGAAGTGGAAGGTTGGCTACTTTAGTCACAACATATTGACTTGAATGAGGCAGCGTCGTTTAGAACAAAACATCTTAAAATGTAGTCTATTTTAATTGAAAAATAGGGTAATAGGTATGCTTATATTTATTGATGCGACTTAAAATAGTTTGGTGGGTACTCTGAGATTTTTTTTCAATTAAAGATATTTCTGAAGAAGGCGGTGATGATGGAAACGATGAGGACGATGACACAGATGAAGGAGAATCTGATGGGGAAGGTGAGTAGACGTTGTGATAGCACTCCTTAGATTTGGAAACTAAGCTAGCAGTCCTAAAATGTGATTGAATATCTACTGCTGGTAGCATGTTACTTCAAAGCATATTTAAGGACAAGAAATTGTGGTGCAGAAAATGGCACCTTGCACACCACCGCTTTATTTTACAAAACGTTAAGGTCATGTCGATTACCATCATCCGGTGTCTTCTAGTTTTTTGATAACACCTTCTTATGCTCTCCAATTCCTATGTTCACCCAAGACAAAATTGAAGAGGTAGCGAGTAGTGTTTCTGCCTCGGCATCGGACGATGATAACGAGGTAGAAGAGGTGGACGTTCTGGCGGGGGATGACTCGGAGGGCGAGACAATCGATGCCTCACTGACAGAGGTGCTCAAGGCTCGCAGAGCTTGTGCAAAGGCACTCAAATCACCGGGTGCCAAGCGCAACTGGAAGGTTTCCGTGGGCGAAAAACGAACTAGCACTATGCCTAAAATGGTGAATAACTTTTTTATCCTTTGCTTAATAGTACCAGAGGCCTTAAATTTGTATAGTACCTTCCATGGCGCATCGCAAAATGCAAGTGATGATGATGAATCTTGTGGCATGTACTTTATCCGCCAGGATGGCTGATAATTGATGCGAAATCTGGTCCCCGTGTCCCAGTACCCAAGTTGCAAAAAGCTATTAACGTGACTAAATCCGTTATCATTTAGTGTGCTATATCAATCCCTCATAGAATGCATAGCCTCGGTTCCAGAGAGCCTTGATGCCTACATAGCAAAAGAAACAACGAACTTCCCCATAAGAACGGCGGACAATAATATTTGTGGCTCTTTTGATCAATGCATGAGAGCGCAATACCACATCGAGATGACAAGTTTGTCAGCACTTAAGCAGATATCACCCTCGTCTTAGAAAAACACCTGAGTTGCGCCCATCTACACATCTCACGCTAAGAGAACGCAACTCCATGTCACAAACCGTTACTTTGCGTTGAGAGGTTCTCGTTTCTAGTCTTCTGATGCACCACTTCGGTTTCATTTCAGCTACCGGTTCCCAAAAAACTCCGAAAGTGAACTCGCCTCTTTGAATTTGTAAATACCCAAACCTCTTATTAATAAAGATATTCATTGGGATCCTGAGTTAGTTAGTGTCGGGCAAAGGTGAATGGGAGGATATGGGCGATAACCGGCAGCATACAAGTAGTTACTCCAACCGCAGCTCATTCTTGCTGGGTTGCAGTATTTTTAACTCATTGCGTAAGGACAATCCCACAGTCGAATGAGCAATATACTGCGCATTCGTCCACGTTGACCCTACAAGCCCCAAAAGTGCACTCCCACCGTGACTGAAAGGCTACGGCTATGGCTTGTTAGCCCACCCCCACGCTAAAAACTGACCACTTTTCTGATTTGACGCCTTATTGCGATCTCAGGGCCATCCAGTTAGCACGGCGAACCGATAGAGTGGCTGTCTTGTGACTGCCGATTTCCACAAGATGTCGAAAGTGGACACCGGAAACATTTCATAAAACGACCACCATTGGAGTGCCGCTACAGCTGAAAGCAACAGATGCAAATTTCATGGAACAGATCACATCGCTGATTCCACAATGAATAAAAGGATATGATCCGCGTCAGCATGACGGAAGTAGATTTCCTGCTGTGGCATACCCTAACCACAGACGCCTCATATAGTTTAAACGATTTCAAATAATCGAGACCCGGTCAGTTTTTTGAGAGAGCAGCAAATTGTCTTTAATTTATTTTGTCAAATGAACTCAAGGTCAAAGTGATCTGGAAGTGTACAAAGGAGCGACCTAGTATATAGGGCAGAAGCACGAGCCACGATGTATATCTTACACTTTTACTGAAATATCACAATAAGTACATCAAAACCAGGCTTGCTATATAATTTACAAAATTGCCTTGAGGGGAACACTTCTCTCGTATCTAACTGTTTGATCCGCCTCGCTCGACCACCACAAAGGTAGAAAGGCAGTGGTTTCCTTCGCACTCTTCAACGCATCTCCAAATCGGCTTTGAACAACCATACGCACGCTTGATCGAGGTCTAGACAGAAGAAAAATCATACGTGAAATTGCACGGAGTGCAATCCTCATACTGCTCTCTGTGACATTGGTGGATTTCGAAATCTGCCTATGAGATGATTGGAACACTAAACTAAGTGAAACAACTCACTCTATAAAAAACTTTTTCGATGTTGGTCTGATCAACTCAAAGGCTGGAGAGTTTATTTGCCCCACAATCACCGTCAGCCGCTCATCGAAAGAGGTGTTGATCAAATTAACCTGAGAAAAGAAGGCGTTAGTGAAGCGTTCCTGGCTATGACACAAAAATACGTAGACAGAATAAACACCTGGCACTGCTGGTCGTTACGCCTGAACACGACTGGGACACCCCTAAACTTAAGCAGTGGTTTAACAATAACAGCCTTGGGCCCTGGCACCGACACCTGATGAGATTCCTACAACCAAAAGACACTGATTTTAGACAAACAGCACTGGAAAGTGGTATTCAAACCGATTTTTAGTGTCGCACACTAAGTGTGTCGCCCACAAAGAGGATTTCAGATTCTTGAGTGGGTCCATTAAAAGCAGCATCGAGTACAAGAGGGCCAGTGACGTCACGTGAGAGGTGGAAGGAAAAAAGCCAGCGCTGAGAGAACCGGGTGTCCGGGGGGGCGTCGCGGGGCGGACGGAAACTGAAGGGTAGATGATGTGTCTCGCCAGGCTCAACGAGAAGAGGACGCGGCGGCACAAGGAAGGCGAAGACGCTTTCCACCCCTTCCGCCCGCACAGGTGTCGCGCGCCAGTAAAGGCGCCATAGCGATGAGAGGCGCCTACGAGACGTGGTGCTCGATGTGAGGTTACCGCTACCTTCCACGCTCTGCGAGGCATCCAACGCCGCCAGCTCAATTTGTAGGGTTGCAGCTTAATAAGACAAGAGGCAATATAAGTAATCTTCCTCAAATAAATGTCACCTACACTTGTCACTGACTTCGGAATAAGAATATTCCAGCACATTGGGGGAGGAAAACTCACAGGTAAATAGTCCGGGTCGACAGGGGGCAAAGATGAGTTGAGAATCAGGGCGAAGGGTGACCAAGGGTACCTTCGAGGGCTGGGGAGGTGAGTTCAAATTGGGGGGCGGATAGTCACAAATGTCCTCGTAAGGTAAAGTAGTGGCGGGAGAGGGAGATAGCCTATCGCGTTTGCGCTGAGAGGATCTGGCGAAGGCAGGATTTCCCATGGAAAGGGAAGTTAGACGACCCGGTGTGGCGTCGCTATCTCCGCTCGGCCATCGCACCTAAAGGAGAGAGGCAGTCTCATTAATTTTGACCGTTGACATGTTACTGCAGAACACCTGACGGTTTTTATTAAGCCATGGAGATTTCAGAAGATCAATCTTCCTAGACTTAAGCCGTAACAGGAGAGCGTAAAAAATAAAATGAGCAACCCAATAGGGTTAACTGACTCAAAAGAAGGGTAGTACTGGCAACGTGCCTGAGCAGTAGTTTCAAGGGAAGTTGAGGGACGGACGTTCTCATTCGCGAGTTGGTGGAAATCATCCTCAATGTGATGGCCAATAATGAGAGAGCTCGAGGCCTCAAAGCTGGAGGTGGATGCCTCAGTAAGCAGAGGGTAGATGGTAAGACTAAGGGGGGCGCGGGAGCGTTGCTCGTCCTGTAAAGCCCCATGCCAGTTGTAGTGACCTTCCGAGACGGAAAGGGACATCTCGCCTGTGGTAGGTGAATATGCAGTAGCGAAGCGAACTGTGAGTCAATGAAAGATATATAAGCAACATACAAATTACCCGGCATATCTTGAGTTTCTCCATCGAAGGGCCTCATAATGTAGGCAGAGCGAAGACGGTGATGCGGCCGCGGCAATGTGCGCGGAGGCGATTGCTCAGGTTGACCAGTAGCGGCAAGCCTAGATAAACGTTAAACGAAATTTCGCGCCGCCATCAATGATAGCAGCTTACATTGGATACGCTTTTACAAATACAAGTCGGAAGAACGATTCGAGTTACCAAGCAATCATTCATACGGCCGAGTAGAAGTTTTAAAAAAGACGGATAGTAACCAGACTGGACACACGACGGTCCGCAAAGGTAGTGGAACTTACATTTTTCTGCACTGATAACGCAGAATTTCGTCGCCATTATAAAAGAGAACCTGGACTTCAAGAGGCTCATCCGCTATCGAAATGATGACGTCCTAAGGCGCAAAACGTTTTAAAATACTCTAAAGATCGGTAAAAAACAGGCAGGTAGAAGAAAATCTAACTGATTTCCAGGGTTAACTAAAAGCGCGACAACGTGCCAAAACGGAACCATCGAAATGGGAAAATCTACAGGCAAAGGAAGCTTACATAAGTCGAATATACTTCCTAATGGCCAGTCGGACGTAATGAAGAAATTAACTACGAATCCCAAGTCTTAGGGTATGTAACATTCGTTTTAGTAGTAGTTTATGGCTTCCCTAAACTCCTAATCGCATGCGTCAAAAATAATTTCATGCATGCATATTGAAGGAAATAGGTGACGAACCCGTGATTCACTGGGTCTCAGAACAAATCGGGCAGGTCTGATGCGCACCCCAGATAGAGGGGTGAGTGAGCTGTCCTTACAGGAGTTGGGTGCCATGGCTACAGCGAAAACCCACGCTGTACGAAGACCAACATTGAGAATGGAGACGCGAGCGTAATAGGAGGATTTCGTCCGAAGTGGTTTGTCAGCCTCGGTGGGGGTGGAAAAGGCAGACGTCCAGTAGGTCTTTTCATCCACGCCTCTGCAAAAGTCACATTGGACGCTGCTTCCTCCCACGTAACCGATTAAGCGTTGCTAGAAGAAAGCAGTGTAAAGCCTTGACATACAGGTAACTCATACTAATACCAGAGCCATTCGTCAAACAGGAAAGAAGCAATCTCGGTATCAAAGTAGTCTCAAAAATTGAATGTTCTGAAACGTCCAATGACCTCAACCGCTTTAGGGAAAGGAATTCGTACAGATAAGGGAAAATGATCAAGCAACTTCAACAGCAAAATAAATAAGCTGGGACTGATTGAGCAATATTTGGAAGTGATTACTCAAACAGAAGTCCAATGAAAAAAGTGGTAGATATTGCGCTCACCAGGTAGCAGCGAGAGCTAGAGCTTTGAGCATTGGCATCACTTTTGCAGGGTACTTCACGGAAGGCAAGGATTCCAGTGTGCCAAAAAAGCGGTGGACGTGGTTTATAAACCACAGTCACCGTGCATGCCAGCCGCGGAGGAAGTTCTATCACGCGTGATCCTTTCTGGGTAATAAAGCCACGGTGGTCGAGTAGCTAAATGCAAGCGTAATATCAATCGCAACTGAATTTAGCGGCAACAATTACAACGGGACAAATAAAAACCTTCAATACGTTGAACTCAGGCTTAACAAACCACCAACTGGGAATTGAACTGACTAGACATGATAGATCCGAGGTTATGGTCGACTACATTTAACAATTGCCGTTAGATATCAATAAAATCTGCTCACTAAACATGATAGGAATGTATACTTCCTCAAACGAGATGGTAGAGTATTAGGAGGAAACCACACACTATAACAGGATGACACTTGGGATAAAGAAACAAGTGCTTACCGTAAAGAAGTCCCTTCCTTCCGTAATTTGCAGCTTCACTTTCATAAGATGGTCAGAATCTTGACGAAGAACGAACGCTTGCTTGCTGCAAGGGGAACATTGACATAGATTAGAAGGATTATTACTTTAGTTAAGTAAAATAAAAAATGAACAAGCGGAAACACAGTGAACCAATGTCCAAATTTTCCCACAGGGAGTACACAAATAAATCGTCAAGTAAACTTAGTAAAAAAACGGCTCTAAGTTTAAAGACCTCTCCACTTGAGCTGTGGCACTATTCACGCTTTACAGCAGCAGAAAGTGTAGAATAAAAACATACCTTTCATGACCATAGGTACAAGCACGCCAAAAGAGGCAGCGGGAGGTGGCCATAAGGGGGTGTTTATTCTTGCTATTTACCAATGCAGTTGCTCCATTATCTTTTCCCACATTGAAAAGATTTTGTCCACCTTCATCATGTGTACACATTTCTACATTACCTATAGATATAGAAGAAAATGACTACTTTCGGCTATAGTAATGCAAATAAACTCAATGTAAAATAGTAAATTTACCGAATTTCAATTCATACTGCAAGAAAAGCCATCAGCCCTCTCTAAATCGCCAAGCAATGCAAAATTTTAGCAATTTCAAGGGCAGATAACGATGTCATGTCACAGGACCCCGGTAATAAATATCTGCTCAACTATTTTGGATCGATTCATCGCAAAAAAGTCATGGACTCAATTCTAACGATCATGCTCAAATGGGGAAAATAACAAACCGGGTGCTTTCGGTGGAACCTCCGGTGAGGCACTGGTGGCATCTGAGGGTGTGGAAGAGTTTAATTCTACCTCGCAAGTAGTCTTCGCATCTTTCATTTTCATCATGCTGCCACTTTCCCGTGAGATTGTCTGCGTTGCTATGGCATAAGTCCCCAATGAGGAATCAGCAACCACGCCATTCTTCGCTGTCGCATCTGATGATGGTGAGGGCCTAGGTACCATCGAAGAGCCTCTAGAGGAGTGTGGAGAAGAGGAGTTAGGGTTGGAAGGGACTGTGGCGATAGTGGCAGTGGAGGGAGTAGCCTGTGCGAGGGTGGAAAGGTCGAGTGGTGGCACCCATATTGACGACGGCAGTAGAGAGGTCCTCGGTGCAGGAACGGGTGGAACTTGAGGCTCGATAGCCTTGTCCTTATTCACCGATTTCGACACCTCATTTACGTACCAATAACCAACACCAGGAACAAGGTATGCCATTTGACCGTAGTCAAATGAATACTGAGTGTCCTCACCGTCATTTTTTGGTTCTGTGAATGAAAGAAAAATTTAAAAGCACAAAAGGAGGGGGTGCATATTCGTAGTGAATGCCTGAAAAATACCATTTAAGCAAGTACTTCTTCTTGCATTGCTGATAACAGAATGATTTATGACGGCGAATCTTTCATTGAAATTAGACTTAACGGGACTGGAGAGAGGCGAGAGCAAATGGGCAGGAAGGCGGCATGAATTAGTGTTTTCGCCTCCCTCAAAAATTCCAGATTTCCCATTCGTCCTTTGGAATGACAGTTCAGTATTCATCTATGCGGTAGAGACAAGTTGGTATTTACTGAGGAAATCAAGATTAAAATTTCAAAATACTTAATACTTTATGAAATGAAACACGTGCAATGTTAGTAAAGGAGTAAAAGTTCACTAGAATCTGTTAAGAACACCCAAAAAACAGGTAATAGCAAAATGCAATCTGTTTACCGGCGAGGAGGCCAGGGTCATCATAGGGTTGTCGATTGATTGCGGGTTATTGATAATATGTGATGACTGTAAAACACCTAACGGGTAAGACAACTGTATTAAACGTGGAAATACACAATACCGGATCTTCGTGGACCTTGTAAGGAATTGTGGGAAGAAGTCGGCAGCTTTGATATAAAAACCGAACCAGAAGCGTTTTCCAAGGTTTCATTAACAGCAATAGCCTCTCTGGTCTTGTCTTGTACTTGGGACTTTCCTTGATAAGCAGTTGTAGACTATGAGGTAAAAAAAAATCATTGAAAATCAAGGCCATGTGCCATGAACTCGCGCATAAGCCGTAACGAAAAAGAACCTATGATGATGAAGAAGCAACGCGAGTTCGCAATGATATCAAGCAGAAGTGCTCAAGCATTTCCATAAGATAAACAGATAAATGCTAATAATCCATCACAATAACAATGTCTGAACCTATTTCCATGAAACAAATGGCCTTCAAAACTCACCGAGAAGGACTCACGACTTTGCCACTCAACAATGGTTGATAAAGGTCTTCCGTAAAAGTAGGCTTCCGATAAAACATTTGAGTCCCAACCACCAATGGGTGGTTGATTTTCCTGATCCTCACGAACAGCTACTTCCTGATTTGTATTGTATCCATCCTGCAAAGTAACAAACAATTAACCAATATCCAAAGAAAAGGGAAATGGAAGGGAAACAGGTCACAAAAAAGTGGATATGGGACAAAATATTAAAGTAACAAAAACTAAGGCAGGTTATGCATTAAAATCCCTAGATACCCCAGTACTTCCTGATGGCAGAATCCTATTGTCGGTGGGATCTGAGGAGAGCGAAGGAAGAGAGGAGACATTAGTTGCCTGACCTGAAGACTGAGAGGCTGATAATTCGCCTGGCCTCTCGAGAGTTACGGTTGCGATCGCACCAGTGTCCCTTGGACCTGTCGATAAATCGCTAAAAGCCTCTTCTAAATGACGCAGCTCGTCGGCATTCAGACGAAAATCAATCACATCAATGTCGACTTTGTTTTCCTCGGGATCTCTTAAGGCAATATTTTGGCCTTCGGCTTTGGTATCCGATGTGCTTAATGACAGAAGTTTATTGGATAAGGAATCGAGATTGAGAATGTTCAGTGAAGCATCATGTGAAGAAGGCGATTTGAATTCTGATGAACACAGAGAAGGCCTGTTTTGAACTATGCTGTAAGTAACATTGCCTTTGGGGTTGGAAGGCTTGATGGCTGAAGATTCGGCTAGTGGGCGCAACCCGTCAAGAAAGGTGTTACTTAGTTGTGATGATTCGAATTGGCCACACTGATGAACAAGCTGGAAGTCTGGACTCGAAGGATGGTTTACACTCATCTAAAGAGCAATATTGTTGAACTATAATGCACAAGCTCGGATAGAGTGAAGTGCCAATTCGTTGAGCTTATAAACTCCACCGAACAATGGCGGGATGAAACAAGTAAGATACAATACCTCAGTATTAGGATAACATCGCTAAAAATGGAAGTCGAAGTTGTCAAAGAAAGAAAAGACACAGATAAAGTACAACCCCCTGGAGCAAAAACCGGATTCAAACGACGTAACACAAACTTACTCTGTGAAGAAGCAACCAAATTTTGCGCCTTGTTCAACAATTAAATTAATCGTAGTGTTCCAAAGAAAATCATAATGCAATTCTAAGGTATGACATTTTCAACAAGTCCGCCGGTATAATTTTTTAAGAATTACCAATGCTTGCATACAATTGCACATTTTGGCTTTTTAAGGCACAATGAAAATGTTTAAAACAATATGTGTCAAAAAATTAAAACAAATGTACAAATTAATTGCAAGCACCATTTTTGAATAATTTTTTTGGTAATTTTGCATCTTCTGGATTTGAAGTCTGGTGTTAGCGTAAGAGCGAAATGGGTGAATCTAATTTCTGCTCCGCAACTCCATTTTCCAAGCGTGTTTCTTAGACAGCTTGAAATGGTTCGTTTTGGAAACAAAGGGACTAAACAATACCAAGCGTGCCTTTCAGTTAGTCATGTTTTAGAATCCTCTATCTATTTCAAGTGCTTTTACCCATTTTCTAATTTTTTAATTATCGTTGGAGTTTTCGGTTGCTATTAGGTCAGAAGCTGGCTTCTTTTCGCAATTATTTGTTCTAGCTACGAACTTTAATTTTGCGATAGGTTGTTAATGCCTTTGATTTGACGGCTGGTTTGGTATAGTCAGTTGGCATACGTGTCTTTAAATGCTTCTTGGGGGTTGTTGAAATGCCTTTGGTAATTATTTTTATTTAATTGTTTGCATTAACTACATAAGTTTGTGAGTTACCTTGACATGCCATGCTTGAGGAGAATAAATGGACTCGTGATCCCTGTGTAGGTCATAGTCGAGTCGTGTCTTGTGTGAGTTTCTGGCATCCAAATGTTTTTTTCTTCTCACTACTAAATTGCATTTTACCAGACATGGAATTATTTCTAACTCACATGTTATGGGTTGGCGGGGTTTTATTCTGGAACTATAGTTTCTTCATCAGTACATGCTTGTGTTAATAAACTTCTGAGAATTCCGTTCTACAGAATCATGGCTTTAACTCGCAATTTCATTTGCCGTACTCAAAGCCGCTCTCCTACAAAAGTGTCAACACCTATCCATTGGCCCATCTCTAGTAGTAAATCGCATTGCTCTGTTTCACCCACATCTTCAACCTCATGGGATCAGCTCTCCAGTCCAAGTGGAGATGAGGTAATTTGTCCATAGTTCTGACCTTTACCATTTACCATAACCTGTGAAGTACCAAATATACTGGTCCAAACTGCTCTTTGATATTTGGGTTTTCTTTTAGGTGAAGGAAGACTTTATTTCGTACTGGGAAGACGTTCGATTTATTGCAATTTCCGGGAAGCGAAAATGCGGCAAAGACTACGTTGCCACTTTTCTTCACAATGAAATTCAAGAAAGATTGGGTCAAACAGCTGCCATCATTCACATTTCAGAGCCAATCAAACGTGCTTTTGCTGAGGAGTATCATTTGGAGCTGCAGGAACTGATGTCCTCGTCTGCCTACAAGGAGCACTTCCGCCGTCACATGGTGAGATGGGGGGAGGCCCTACGGAGAAAAGATACCACCATTTTCTGTCGCAAGGCTCTTGAATATCTTATCCAAGATTCGCCCTTCAAACCCGCCTTCGTAATAGTGGCTGATTGTCGTAGACCCACCGACCTCGAATACTTTTCCAGTCTGAACAAGGATACACCTCTTCTGCACCTGAGAATTTTGGCATCTCCTGTCACTCGGGGAGCGCGTGGATGGATTTACAATTCGGGAATCGATGATGCAGAGACGGAGTGCGCCCTCGATAGGACTCCCTTCGACGTTCTTGTAATAAACGAGTCACAGCGTACTCTAACCCTCTCTATGGCTGTTGTCCGACGGGCTCTCAGCGATAACCCCCCTCGAAAAATGATGACAATCTGACCACTCACCCTCTTACCGTACTTATCACCTGTATATTATGTCATTTTTGGCGTCATTTTCGAGAATTGCGTTAGGTCATCGTTTTTGACCAAATGCTGTGTAACGTAGTGGTTTGTTGTAGGTTGTCCTGATAAATTGGTTCCTCTGTGCTTGCGTTGCACGTCCTTGACTCAATCCTGGTTTCATTCGGACCCGTCTTGCCTGGAGGGAAGCAGGTTTGGTGTGCGGTGAGACCTAAGGAGATACGGGGCGTGAAGTATCGTCCGTTTTTCGCATCTCGACTACGCGAACTGTGGACGAACAGCTGGAAAGTGCTGTTGGATACCGGCACTACGTTGCGACAACTTTGGCACTCTGACCTCCCTTTGCCAAAATGGTTATGTGATACAGTATACTGAAAAGATTGAATTCAGATACCAGACAGAAATGTCTGTGAAGTTCGCTAACGTCCCTCAGAGTGATGCATTTTAATTCGTCGAGGTTAAGGGAGACGGGGAACGTTTAGCACCTTATCTGAACACATAATTGAGTCAAATTTCCTACTAACAGGCGCTATTGACCCTTTAAAGATTTGTGCTAATAAAGAATCGCCTGCTGTAAAGAAACTGGCGATGTAAAAATACCACTAGAACTTCACGAGAAATGGGAGACATGCGCGAAGTTAATTTATCAATTTGTTTCCAAATGAATCTTCAAAAAATCAAATTCGTTTAAGCATTGGAAGGCCGTGTTTAGATGATAACTGACGCACCATGAGTGTGTCAACGAAAATAAGATCGCTTCTGATTATATTTTTTGGATTGTTGTATCAAAAAAGAATTGGAAATATAACGATCCAGATTGGGATTTCCACAAATAACTGCGTTCAATTTTTTTGAGCTATTTATTTTGGAATTTGGGCAGGACGAATATCTTACGTGTTTGTGCATTTAACTTGCTTTGTAAATTGTATGCGCATTATCAATGAACGCTCTTGTAAGCAAAGGTAATAAAACCGTCGGATACGAATGGGAATAATCTACAAGCTGGAGAGTTCGTTTAATATACTGGAAAAAGGTTAGAATAGGAATAACTTTCGACCGAATAATGTTATTTCCTATTCAGAAGTATGCAGACAATGTTTTCTTCGCTTCCTAGCATTTAGGAGCTAAACGCCTTGCTACCTCGATGATAGAATTAATAATTACTGGTATTACGTGTACTGTAGCGCACCGAGACTTCCCTGAAGATGAAAGGAGATATAATACTAGAGCATAATATGTATTGCCGACGTTCCGAAGGTATAGCGGCAAAGAACCTACCTGGTTCATTCCCAAAACCGAGAGTCAAACAAACGAACGTATTACAGTACAACCGCCATTTGATGAGTTCCTTCGTAAGAAAAAATACCTTTTTAAGACATCGTATTCATAAATGCGGCGAAAAATAAGGCGATTTTCTTAATAATCGTACCATTTTACTGCTAACACTTGTATATTAATAATGTAGCCTTTTTTAAACTTGCACTGCTCCTTTTAAGTCAAAGTAGGCTCTGTCGAGAGAAACACAGTTACCGAAAAACATTACAGCTTTTAAGGAGAAGGTGTTTTTTTTTATTGCTCTTACGATTGAGAACAAGGGTACTCAAGCAGGCAAGGCCCAAAGACGTCAGTAATGCCAGGGGCATCATGTGATTATGATACGCGTTACCTTGATGGTGGCTGTGTTGACGTGCAAGGCGTTTGTGGAAAAAGAATGCAATTTCATTTAGTTAATTGAAACATTTTTATTGCACTATTTGAGCAAAATGGCCACTGCATTCCGACATTATTCAAAATCATAGAAGCTATAAGATTGTGACTTTTGTCTAGATGTTGTAAATCGTTGTTGAACCATCACCTATCGAGCACCCGGGCACTTGACGTTCGTGCGCTTCGTTTTCGACGACGATGGTGTCTCTGACTCTCCGAGTTTGTTCATTTGATGACATGGTACGGGTTATCTCAATAAACCGTTATTTCTAAAAAAGGGTGTAATCTCTAGCTTAGCATAGCTAATTTGGTTTTATGAATAGCTAATGTCTATGCCTTTTGTTGAATTTCGTATTTACATGTAGAGAACTTATTTTTTAAAAACATATACATATTCCGCAGTCTGAAATCTCACCTCTTGCATTGTCAGGTGACGTTCGTCACCATAGAAAGTACGTCACTAACTTTTGTTTTCACCACTAAATTTTCACGAGACTTTCTCACCACACCTTAGGCGATTTGTCATACTTGATAGAGGGCTCTACTTTACCAATCGGAAATAAGGCGTGATCGTAAAAAACAGATTACCTGTAGGTAGAATGTAAAAATGTAAATGTTGCCGTTTGAATTTGCATCATCTCTTCAATAAATATAAAGCTATGGAAGATATGCTATCGGTAGGCTTTTGGGTGTGTAATTTCCGATGTACGTAGATGCTGTAAATAGTAAATAGCAATCCTAGCTTAACTATTAATAATAGACAGCTAGGTGGATTTTCTGTGGCTCCCCAAAACTTCCCTGAGGATGAGAGAAGATAAGATACTGGGACAGGATATGCATTTCTAACGTACAGAAAGGCTGGGTGACTACTCACATGGCCTGGAGGTCATGCCCCTGGGCGGAAATACAAGCTTCGTGTCCTTCAGTGCCAGCGTAATCTAAACGAAAAGTTAAACATAGAGTCAAAGCATTAAATTTAGCTAAATAATTGCTTGTTAAGATAAATAGGCAAGCCTAGGGATGGGATTTGCTGGAATAGGCAGGATGAAGTCTTCTTTCAATGCGTGGAAGTTTGTGTGGTGGAAATTCTATCAGCTTATGTAAGAGTTCTTTATAAGTCTTGGTTTCAGCTGATAAGATACCAGTTGCTGCCCTTAACGTTATAAGATAGTAGTTTACTGGCATAAATTCTATGAAGCATTTATTTTTGTTATACATCGGAAGCGTAGCATCTATTAGCCACGAGCCGCGGGCAAGGGCAATTGCTTCGATGATTACCCAGCAAAATGGCAAAATAGTGGAAGTTTTTGAATTAGTAGTGGAATTATGGGCCATAGAACAGAAGTCGACATGTGCTTAAAATAAGATATTCTTCGGGCTAATGCACACCCCAAATGCTGGAAGTTTTTACAGTTTTGTTGGAAAATTTGTCTGTACATGCGGTTTCCAGCACAGAGGGTCGCGTCAGTCACTAAGGCTACCACACACGGAAGGCAATCTCGACACCGCTCAGCGGGCTTAAATCTTAAAGAAACTCCTGTATTTTTTCGCCTGCATTTGTTTTAACTAATCTTGCATATTAATAAATAATTGGTGGAAAAATTTTGTATCTCCCGTCCTCACATACAGGTCACGAGCTGCTCCATTGTTGTAAGGAATTCGCACTAGTTTTAACCGGAATAACCGGTCCTTTACGGCGCTTTTATCTTCTGACCGAATGTGCTATTCTAAGAAACCAAGGAACCTACACATTAACTGGCATTAATAAGATGCAAATTTGTAAGAGGTGATGCAATACCTGTTAAATGAAAATCACATTGGGATTATGAAATACATTTTCACGGGACCGCTCAGTCACCTACAGTTTATAAGTAAAATTGTCTCCTCGACCTACTATAGGTAAACGCTGTTAATCTGATCAACTTTTGGTGGCTTAATCTTCAAATGTTTATACAAGTAGCTTAGATACCACTTTGTTTTCCACGTTAAAGCTCAACGGAACACAAATTTCATGTCATCATTATCACTGAACATGTTATTAACGTGGTACAGAGTAGAAAAATAAGCTACGTGATGGTTGTAGAGATTGTGACCTAACCTAGAAGTAAAATTAACTCGACTCACTGTTTTTTGCCTAAATAGTACGACGTATCGCAGAACTAAATCGAAAGCCTTTCACCATAGCCTTACATGCTGTGGCCAAAGTTGTAGGTTTTGATTATAGAATTCGTAATTTCTTTGGCCTTTACTAAGCCAGTGGTTTTACCACCATCCAAGACTTAGTCATAAAAATCGAGGTGGAATGTGCTTACACGCAAGGTGGAGATGATGATTGTGGCAGGGCACGTGCACTACACTCCACACGGACCACCACAGCCTGTTGTTTCACTTTTTCAGCGCCATCTCCATCAACACATTTGATAATTAGCTTTTTACGAAATCGCTTAGTTTTGAAATTAAGCTCCTGACCAAATTGTTGAGAGGGCAATCTGAGTTACTTATTGCTGGATGAGTACAAAATACTAAATTAATTATTTATCCTTGCTACATCCCTTAAAGCCACCTTAAAGTTTCTATTTACAAGAGATTTGAAAGATAACAATAGGACCGTCAAATTGGTTGGAATCTTTCAGTGGTACCCATGCCTAAACTATGTAATAGAAAGTGCTTCCCGTAAACTTTATCGATACTGTTTAGCAATTTTAAGTGTGCTAAAGTCAAGAAAGAGGATGATTTTTGGTTTGGGTTATCGAGAAATAAAGATAGACATGAGAGCAACGAATAAACTTAGTGGAACATCTCGTTTATTACATTTTTGTCGGCACGCAGTCTGGAGCGCAATTAATATACAATGAGATATCAATTTAATCCGTATCATAGCTTTAGTGAGCTTTTGGCATCATTAAGATAAGACACTCATGTGAATGAAGAGACTCGCGACGTGATTCATCAGGGGCGCAACGCATTGAAACGTCATTTAAACTTTGGTGCAAAGGCTATCAACATTACCAATTTTGAATCACTTTGAAGTAATTGAAAACCTACATTTCTTAAGCTTTTTTCGGTTTTGTTATGCTGAAAGCGATTCCCAAGTTTTCCACATTATTTAAAGTACACACTAGAACACCTAGTAAATGAGAGACCAAATTTAAGTCCAAAATAAGAAAATAAGGTAACTAATTACTTAGAAGCTAATATAATTAGTGACTTACACTAATACTTAAAAAAATTATTATGCACCCACTTTACGGCATTATTAACATTAGCAAT